TACACTCCAGTCTGGGCGACAGAGTGAGACTCCAACTCAAAATAATAATAATAATAATAACTGCTAAGAACCAACTGTGAGGCCAGAGGATGCATCTGAGCTTCAGAGAGCACCCAGTCTGCTCGTGCACGTGGTTGCTGGGAGGTGCAAGGGCAGGGGTCTGCCTACAAGGCTTTTCTGACTTTCCAGGACACAGCTCTGCTGGGCAGCCACCCCTTCTGCTGGCTGGCAAGAGCCTTGAGTCATATTTATTCTATCCACCTGTCCCCTCAGAGGCAGAAGACACTCCCAGTTGGTTACATGGTATGAACTCCAAACTCCAGGACCCTCTAGCATGGAGGGACAAAGGAAATCGTTATTTCCAAAAAGATCAGACATGAACATGTCCTCAGTGTGTGAGTAAGCGATTGTATGCGTGAGCATGTGGGTGATTGTGTGTGTGTGAGTTAGCATGTGATTATATGAGTAGGTATATAAGTGAATGAGCATGTGATTTTATGAATGGGTGTGTAAGTGATCATGTGAGTGAGCATGTGAATGATTGTGTGTGAGTATGTGAGTGATAGTGACAGTCTGTGCTAGTATAAGCAAGCATGTGAGTGAGGATGTGATGATTGTGTGTGTTAACATGTGATTATATGAGTGGACGTGAGTTAGCATTGAGTGAGTGAGCATGTGGGTGATTGTGTGTGTGAGTTAGCATGTGAGTATATGAGTGGGTATGTGAACTAGGATGTAAATGAGCATGTAAGTGATTGTGTGTGTGAACATGTGATAGTGATAGTGGGAGTTAGCACATGATTATATGAGTGAGTGTGTGAGTTAGCATGTGAGTGAGCGTGTGAGTGATGGTGATAGTGTATGTTAGCATGTGATTGTATGAGCAAGCATATGAGTGGTCCTGTGAGTGGATATGTGATTATTGTGTGTGTTAACATGTGATTACATGAGTGGGCATATGAGTGAGCATGTGAGTGAGTGAACGTGTGGGTGATTGTGTGCTTGAGTGGGTGAGTTAGCATGTGAGTGATAGTGTGTGTTAGCATGTGATTATATGAGTGAACGTGTGAGTGAGCATATAAGTGATTTGTGTGAGTGTGTGTTAGCATGTGAGCGAGCATGCAAGTCATTGTGTGTGAACATGTAAGTGTGTGTGTTAGCATGTGGCTACAGGAGCAAGCAAATGAGTGATTGTGTATTAGCACATGAATAAGTGTGTGAGTGTGAGTGTATGAGTGTGTGCAACTCTACACACAGTACATATATTTGCCAAATTGAGTCTTTCCATCAGTTAATCCAGGGTCAGCAAACTACAGCTCTTAGGCCAAATCTGGCCCACTGCCTGTTATTTTGTAAATTAAGTTTTATTGGAACATAGTCACACCCATTGTAGCTGTTTGGGAACTGCAACAGCAGAGCTGAGTTGTTGCAACACAGACTGCATAGCCTGCCAAGCCTAAAATATTTTGCTCTCTGGCCCTTTAAGAAAAACTTTCAGACCCCTAAGCTAAGCAGAACCTGCAGAGTCGGGCATCCAGGATTCAGAGAGAGCACAGGCAAGGTTGGTGCTCTACCAAGCTCTGTTTTTCTTTGACTGGACTCCAGAGGTTCCCTCCACCTGAGGGTTTAACACCCCTGCTGCCTGGCCCTGACCTGCAGGAGAAGCATCGATAAGTAAAGACAAAAGGCACAGGGCTCGGCAGGAGCCCATCGACCAGTCCTCACCTCTGTGTCCAGGTCAGGACAACTGGGAAATGCTCCGGGCTCTGGCCAAGATCAGTGTGGCCCTGGGGCCCCGAGCTGCAGGTTGGGTGCGGAACATGGCCTCCCACCAGCTGCAGGTGGCCCCCCCGGAGGGCCTGCTCAAGCCCCTGTCTGTTCCCAACCGGCTGCTGCTGGGACCTGGCCCCTCTAACCTGGCTCCTCGTGTCCTGGAGGCCGGGGGGTTGCAGATGATAGGGCACATGCACAAGGAGATGTACCAGGTAGGTATCGCTGGCGGTGTTCAGCTTTTATACACCTCTTAAAGGGTGATGGTCTGACCCCAGAATCGCACCCTTACTCGGGAAGGCACGGGGAACTGGATCTGACTGTGCCCTCTGCCTCCAGATAATGGACGAAATCAAGCAAGGCATCCAGTACGTGTTCCAGACAAGGAACCCCCTCACACTGGCCATCAGTGGCTCAGGACACTGCGCCCTAGAGGCTGCCCTGGTCAACCTGCTGGAGCCGGGGGACTCCTTCCTGGTCGGAGTCAACGGCATCTGGGGGCAGCGAGCTATGGACATTGGGGAGCGCATCGGTAAGGGAGAGGGCCAGGTGGGAGGGCCTCTGGCTCCATCCTTCCCTAGGGACTCCTGGGTCACTCTCCTACACCATGTCTGGCTCTTCCCTCCACCCACCAGGCACTGGTGCATACCCACCTCTTGTGTGGCTCTTCATACATCCACCTCCAGCCAGCCTGCTGCCTCCTCCAGACTGGTGTCAGGATGTCTGCAACCTGAACCCTGATAGGACTGGGAGCACAGTAGGTGCTCCATCCCCCAGTCTCCCCAAGTTTTGGAGAGCTGTTTCTGTAGTATGTGGCAGGACAGTACTGCAGGGACACCTCTGGTCTGAGCACAAATCCCAAGAGCCCCAGCCACTCTCCAAGGTCCCCAGACATCAGCTAGGCTCTGTGACAGGATGGGGTTTCAGAAGCTGAACTCTCCCCAAATCTCAGAATAGCCTTCTTTCTGAAGCCTTGGTGTGAGCCACAAATACAGAGGCATAGTCAGAGTTATCACCTCCAGAGTAAAATTCTCTAAGAGAGACAGAAGTTAGCAATAGGAATGTACATTTGGTTTAATGATTGATTGTGGCATTTAGGGGCATCTGCTTGGTCAACTCCATAGTGGCCATGCTGGTTAATAGACAACTTTGATGGCCAAGAGGGTCCCAACCTCTTACCTGGTCTCTCTCCATCCACATACTGTTTTCAAGGGGAGCCAGGGTCAGGACCTCAAGTAGACACCGGGACATGCAGGCTCTGATGTCCAAGGTGTGTGGCCTGGGCAAGCCCCTCTCCTGCCCTGACCATGTCCCCTGGGCCTTGGGTTCTCCTCCTCCTAGGACTCAGGCCTTCAGTTGTGCAGGGTGCAGGGTTACAGAGGGAGTCAAATGAGAGCCTGATTCTTGGAGCCCTCAGCCTCAGCAGCAGGCAAAGCTGCTATGCCCCCACTCATCCCTTATTCGTTTATCAAATGGGTGGGCTTTGTGTGTGCCAGGTGCAGCTCCACCCTCAGGAACCCACTCTGTGCTGGGGAGGCACCTATTAACGTAGTTTTGCATATTTACTTATTCTGCATCCACGTACTAAGTGTTGCCAAGTGGCTGGGGATGCCCCCGTCTTAGGCTCAGGGAAGACAACCCAAGGAGGGGGCATCTGATTAGAGACTAAGGCCACTCTCATCTGGAGGCCTCAGTTCTAACAGTTGGAGAGGCAAGGCTGGGGCAGGCTCTACACAGAGAGGCTTTCTTTCTTTTTTTTTTGAGTTGGAGTCTCACTCGGTCACCCAGACTGGAGTGCAGTGGCCACTCCCGGCCACCACAGCCTCGACCTGCTGGGCTCCGGCGATCCTTCCGCCTCAGCCTTCCAAGTAGTGGGAATTACAGGCGCACGCCACCACGCCCGGCTAATTTTTTGATTTATTGTAGAGATGAGGTCTCGCCAAGTTGCCCAGGCAGGTCTCGAACCCGCGGGCTCAGGCAATCCACTCACTGAGCAAACATCACCCTCCTCTCCAGGCAGGCAGCTCAGGTACCCGGATGGGCAGAGTCTTGCTCTCACAGGGTCCACCTGCTTGGCATGGTCACTTGTCCCTGACACTGGCTCCTGCAGTGTGTACAGGGACCATTCACTGGCCACCCTGCCCCTCCTCCAGGAGCCCGCGTACACCCGATGATCAAGGACCCTGGCGGCCACTACACACTGCAGGAAGTGGAGGAGGTACCAACAGGCATACTGGCCCCCAGGGGATGGCCTGGGGTGGGGTCAGGACTGGGAGGCTGGGGCCCATGGCTTGCCGTCAGATCATCTCAGCATCTGAGTCCAGTGCCTGTGCCTGCAGGTGAGGCTGTCCCCACCATGGGGAGGTCACAGCTCAGAGCCAGGCTGGGGTGGGGGCAAATGCTGGCAGGTAAGCTTTTGACTGGCAGGGAAACCAAGTTAGGAGCCCCATCTTGTGGGCAGAGCCAGAAGAGCTAGAGGTCTGTCGGGTGAATCAGTCCTAACTTCCCCAGACTGTGGGGACTAAGTTGATCTTGTGGGACCTATCTGGCTACTGCTACCCAGAGCTGCACTGTCCACGGGAGAGATGTTTGTAGGGGCCTTCACCAGCAAAAGTCCCTCTGGGAGGGACAGGCTGGCCCAGGAAGAGGCCTTTCCCCTATTAGCTCAGCCCACAGCCATTCCTGCCTCCTCAGGGCCTGGCCCAGCACAAGCCAGTGCTACTGTTCTTGACCCACGGGGAGTCGTCCAGCGGCATTCTGCAGCCCCTTGATGGCTACGGAGAACTCTGCCACAGGTGAGCCTGCCCCCGCAAGTGAGCCCATCGTTCCCAGGGTGGCAGAGCTCAGAGCAGGGTTAGGGAGAGGTGTAGACCCTGGCGGTTCCCTCTGCTTTTCAGCTGCCCCCCTACCCTGGACCTCTGTCACATATGTGGGGTTCTCCTTGCTCTGAGATGGATGCATGGGGGGCTTCTCCCATCCAAAGATGACCCTAGAGTCATGGGCAGGCTCAGGTGCTCTAGGGCCAAATGCCTCACAGTGCCCACTGCCCTCCAGTCCCATGGCTGTGGAAGGCTTGGTGATGACGCCGATATCCTGCCAGGACCTACCAAAGCCTGCCCCCACCTTGCCCCAAGTTCACCAGGGCCTCAAAGCTGTCTTCTGACTTCCACCTCCCTTCTCCAGCCCCCGTTACCCCCATACAGGGTGCACAGGGTAGGGCCTTGAGTGGAATGGGATGAGATCCCCCGGAAAATGGACAGAGCCTCTTGTGATCCAGCAGTCCTGTCTGGACTTGATCACAGGCTAGAGAGAAACTCTGCACAGCCAGGGAGGGTCACTCTGGCAGGATCCGCAGCCCAAACAGCTCGCCAAATGGAACACAGCCTTGTAAATCAAGGTCACAAACATAATCTAGGCCAACTTCAGCAGGATCCAAACTGTTCCCTTCCATGCCAGCAGGAGATACTTTTTGTACTTCTTTTTTTCTTTAAACAAACATGGAGGCAGAGGAGGATAAAGTTTTTCATGCTGCTGCTCTGGCTGTTTCTAAACTCTATCCTCCCCAGTTCTGGACTTATGGTCAATAGTTATTAGTGGAGAGAGACCCAGCCTGGTGCTATCCTGGTCCTTGGAGCCCTATCCAACCCTGCTGGGCTGCATTCCTCCCCAATCTACCCTGCAGGACTGACTATATCCCTCCCTATCTTACCCTGGAGCCCAAACAGGCCCTTAGCCCCCAGTTGGCTCTCAGGACCAGACTGCCCAGGTAAGACCCTCACACACACGTGTTTAGGGACCCTGTAGCCAGAGTCAATAGGGTCTTGATGTCCACTAAGGCCTGGTGTTGAGACCCATTCAGTCCCCCAGGTCCCTCTGGCTCTAACACTCAGGGCTGGGGGAGGAAGAGTCACAAGTCCTGATGGATCCTGACAGAATAAGGCAATGTGTGGGGGGTGGGAGGTGCCCCCCTTCCTTGCTACCCTTAAGGTTCCAGAGTCCCTTCCAGAAACTCTGTCCAGGCTGAGGCCTAAGGCTTCAGAACCCTCCTGCTTCACCTGCTGCCCTTTGTTCCTACCTCTCCAGGTATAAGTGCTTGCTCCTGGTGGATTCAGTGGCATCCCTTGGCGGGGCCCCCCTATACATGGACCAGCAAGGTAAGGTGTGCTCCATGACCCAACCAGGCCCCTGTGCAGACCCTGGGCTGAGGGAGCAGTTGGCCCTGCCGGAAAGGTGTGTGTGATGGAGCCTACAGGTCCGCTGTCAACCCACACCATGGATTTGGGTCCATCTCCACCAGACCTGGGGGAAACACCCACCCCTCACTGGGACAGGACAGACTCCTCAAACTAATCTGTACCCCAGTGTTTCTGCTGGGCTATCAGGCTCAGGTGTGGGAGGCTGGCAGGAGGAGACTGCTTCTGATGGGTGGCAGTGCATTTGAGAGGCTTCAGAGCTGCAGCAGTAGCTGTTGGAAGAGGAAGGACCCACACTCCGGGTCATTCAGGTGGAGGGGGCTGGCTGTCTCTGGTCCCTGCCAGGCCACCCACCCTCCCAGATCCTCCACCACCTGCCATGCACCCTGTCAGACTGTGTACAGCAGTGAGCACTGTTGCCAGGGTGGCCTTTTAAGGAACTCAGCCAGGTGTTTCCTTCAAGTCCCAGAATCTCCTAGAGGAGGGAAGCCTGGATCCTGCCCAGTGGCCCCACTTACATCACATGGAGACATCTTGCTTCCTCCTGATGGGGGAGCAATGGAGGGAAAGATTCTGGGCTGACCCTCAGATTACTACTCTGAAAGCAGGAAGGTGGGGGTGCAGAGCTGTCCCCAAATGCCATGTCTCAACTCTGTGGAAGGAGAATCTGCATTGAGAGGCCCAGGCTTGAGGTCACAGAGGCAGCAGCACTGAAATACAACCCCAGGACTCCTTTCCACTTTTCTCCTCCCGGCCTCCACTTATTCTTGATGGGTCTTAGTCCACCAGCCATAGGAGGGGACTGGGTAGGCATCCTTGCTGGAATGATCATACTCCAGATGGGGCTTGCCTTTTCAGAGCATGCTACCCTGTCCACAGGCATTGATGTCTTATACACGGGTGCCCAGAAAGTCCTGAATGGCCCTCCAGGGACCTCGCCCATCTCCTTCAGTGACAAGGCCAAGTGAGTGACCCACAGACCCTTGTCCTAATACAGGGCTAGGGCAGTGAACTCAGGGAGCTCAAGGAAGGAGGGGCCAGAGCCAGGGTGAGCTCTCGCCTCCACCTTATCCAGGTGTGCTGAAGGCTGGCAGTCTGCTTCAAAGGCTGCGTTCACAGGGAGTGGTGAGGTGAGGATGAGGAGAGGGCCATAGGTGTGTACTCGGTGCAGAGCCCAGCATTCTGGAAGTTCCCCCAACTTTACACAACGGTGGACCTGGCAAGGTCTGGGGGCCCAAGGCCCAGCGCCTTCCCCCACTGCCTCTACCCCTGGTTCAGCTTCCAGGAATTGATGCAAGAGCTGCCTTAAATGACAGGTGTGGCTACCTTTCCCTTCTGCAGCCCTAACATCACTCCTGCCCCTGGTGTCCAGACTCTGAGCAAGCTGGGCAGGGGCCAGTGGGGCTGGGAGAACAGGCCTCCATGGGCGGTTCCCACCTAGCTGCAGAGGAGTGACTGGGGGTGCCATTCACCAGAACAGAGAGAACTTCAAGTTGAAGTCAGGCATTCCGTACTGGACGTGGGAAGTCTCAGATGAGATGCTCACTGGCCCACAAGGGAGGATCAAGGAGGAGGCTAGAGCTAGGAAGAGTCGGGAGCTTGGGAAAGGCCCAGGCTAGACACATAGATCTGGAGTTGTTTCCAACCTGGCCAGTGTCTCCTGGAGCCTGGGAGCACAGAGATAGATAGAGCACCACCATTTTCCACTAAGCCCCAGACCCACCAGGGTACAGGGGCTGGGGAGAGGAGCAGAAAGAAAAGGAGTTGGGCAGGAGAGGCAGGTGGGATGGGGGGAGGAGACAGGCAAGACAGCAAGGAGTTACCCAGCCCAGGAAAGCAGTAAGCAGAGTGGGGTCCTCCTGAGAGGCCCTTGATTACACCCTACGGTATTGCAGCCTCCAGGAGAGATGAGACTGCAACTCTAGGCCCTGAGTCTCAGTTTCCCTCTGTCATTTTGATGGATTGCAGTTGCCAATGCAGCAGATCTTCCTATCTTTGAGTGATCATCTATGGGTGACCTGAAAAATAAGGCAGGACGACGCTGTGGGAGGGATGGAGGGAGAGACCAACAGAGTAGAGGGGAGCCAGCCTGGAGTCCCCACATGACAGGGTCACACCCACTTGGGCAGAAGCACAGGCTGGGCTCAAGGGCCCACAGGGTTGGGCAGCCTGAGGGGTTCACGACTCTCCTGGTTCCACATCACCCCTGAGCACAAGCACAGAGTGGGAGTGGGAAGACATTTTTCCTCCTGGGAGTTCCTCCCCCCACTTACTTCTGTGAAACAGGACAGCCAACAAGACCAACCCAGGCCCCTCAGCCCAGATTGCAGACACTGAGGTTGGTTCTTTCTCCCCAGAAATAAGATCTACACACGGAAGACAAAGCCCGTTTCCTTCTACCTGGACATGAAGTGGCTGGCCAACTTCTGGGGCTGTGACGACAAGCCGAGGATGTGAGGCCTGGCAGGGAGGGGGGCTGAGCATGACTAAGGGTGTGGAGAGGTGACCTCTCCCAGCAACTTATCTGCTTTACACATTGGGCTCTGAGTCCCCTATCTTCACGCCCCCATACTCCAACTCCCCCATCTGGGGGTCCCCATTCCTCTCCTGGCCCAAGGCTCAGGCTAGTGGCATAGCTCCCACCACTGTTTCCATGAACCCTGGCTACCCCAGAAGTCACAGCACACCCTCTGGGTACTCTGGATCTGATCGTGCCACATCTTCCCATTGCTGGGCCTCAGTTTACCCCTCTCAAAAGGAAAGGGTGAACCAGAAGCTCTTGGAGATGACTTTGGCCATAAGCCCAAGGCCTCTTGCATTACACAAGGGGACAAGGCACCAGGAATTGTGTCCTAGTCCTACGCCCGCAGAGGACCAATGCTGGCTTCAGGGACCACAGTGGGGAGGTGGCAGCATGTATCTCTGCTCCTTCTAGCCTCCTACTGCATGCTGGCCAAGGCCCTTGCCCTGAGTCTAGCTCTCCCAGCAGATCTAGCTGCTCTTCCAGCTCCGAGTCTGCAGTCCTGAGCCTGGAAGGGTCTCCCCTGTAAAGGAGGTTGGCCTGTGGTCAGAGAGATTGTGCTAGTGGGGCAGGGACAGACGGAGCTACTGCCCCATCCCCTGACCATGCTGCTGGACCAAGCCCCCTCCTGTCTCCCAGGTACCATCACACAACCCCTGTCACTAGCTTGTACTGCCTGAGAGAGAGCCTGGCCCTCATAGCAGAACAGGTATGTAGAGGGAGGGGACCAAGAGGGACTTGGCCCAGGTACTTGATGTCCTTCAAGAGAGGTGCTCCCAGTCCCAGAAGCCCCCATGCTAAACTTGGCTTGCTTCGGGGAGGCCACCCACTCTGCAATCCCTCAAGCTATTCTGGGGCAATGGGTCAAGCAGGCTCCCAAATGCAAGGAACAGCTGGTTGGATTGCCCTTGGGCCTGGTCTGCAGAACAGGAAACTTCCATGGTCTGTAAGCTGGCAGATCACCCACACCTCCTAAGAGAGGGTGAATGGCCATAGGATGATAAAGATGGACCATGGGGTTTAAGCTGTGAAGAGAGAGGGACATGGGAAATGCTGGTAGGAGACCTGGTAGAATTTGAACTGTGGGGGTTAGCATGTAGGGAAGACAGGAAGCTGTAATGGTCAGAAGAGGGAGTCAGACCTGGGAGTGACCAAGGGAGTTAGAGGGATGGAGAACTTGGGAGCTGGTGCCCTGAACCTTGGCTCTGATTCACCCCTGGCTCTGTGTGGCCCAGCAGCCCTTCTCCTCCCTGGTCTGATCAATACCTCTTACAAGATGCTCTTATCTCTTCTCTCAGGGGCCACATGCTGGTCTCCTATCTCCCTCCCCCCAAGACCCCAAATATTTCCTCCTGCCCTGAGGTAGTGCCAAGTCCAGCTTCTGGGACAAAGCGAGGACCCCAAGTCTCCCGAGGCTTTCCCCCACCAATGCCTGAAGAGCCAGTATCTCCCTTGAGCACCACAGAGGGAGGGGCTTCTGCCCTGCCCAACCAGTGCCCATTTGAGCACCTTCTTGTACTCAGGGCCTGGAGAACAGCTGGCGGCAGCACCGGGAGGCAACGGCATACCTGCATGGGCGCCTGCAAGGGCTAGGGCTGCAGCTGTTTGTGAGGGACCCGGTAAGGTGGCCTCTGGCTGTGGGCAGCCCTGTACCCACTGGGGAGGGACAGCGATCATGGGGGAGGGAACAGAGGGGCTCTTGCACAGCTCTGTGGGCTCTGGATGCCTGATCCCAGGACAGCCTATGATTTCTTAGCTGAAAGATGCCCATTCACCTCCTCTAATATTTCCCAAGGGTTGGGGACCCTGTCCTCCTCCCTTCTTTACATCTCTCCTCCACCCACTCCCCTGGAGTCTGAGGCCAGGGCAGGCCAGGCTGGGATGGGGGCCTTGGCTGAGGGTCATCATGAAGGCACACGCAGGGCACCTTGCCCATGTGCTGAACCAGGCCCCTCCTGCAGGCACTCCGGCTGCCCACGGTCACCACTTTGGCTGTGCCTGCTGGCTATGACTGGAGAGACATCGTCAGCTACCTCATAGACCACTTCGACATTGAGATCACTGGTGGCCTAGGGCCCTCTGTGGGGAAGGTGAGAAGGAGTGTCTGGAGCGTAGGGACTGCCCTGCCTTTCACAGAAACTAGGCTCACCAGCCCCTTACCCCCTCCTCCCCTCCGTCAAGTGTCACTGTGCACCTGATCCAGGGCTAGGCCAGGATCATCAGAGGGCCCAGGACAGCCGGAGTGCCCAGAAGGGACACCCTCTCCAAGGAGGGTATTTTGCGAGGAAGGATCCAAGCAGTCTACCTACCCCTGCTTTTGCCTCCAGCTTGGTTCCTCTCTGAATGTTCTTCCTTTCCTCTGAGTGAACCCAGAAAACTGGGCTGGAAACCCCATACCTGGGCCCAGCTGTGTGTGCTAAGCCTGCAGTGCTGAGTGACCTTCACTGCCCTCTGCGCTACATACCCATCACAAGCTCTGTGGGCTCAGAGGGAGGAGAGCCAGCTCTGGCCTGGGTCTCCAGGGTCCTCCTGTGTAACCACAACCAGGTTCTTAGTTCCCCTTGTGCACACTGGGTGGGTGGTCCTCATTTGGCATAAGCCCACCCTGGCTCTGGCTAGCCCTTGGTCAGGGCCAGTTGGGTCCCAGACAGAGGCTGATCTCTGTGCCTGGGCTATTTCCCCACCACCCACACAGGTGCTTCGGATCGGCCTGCTGGGTTGTAACGCCACACGGGAGAATGCAGACCGTGTGACAGAGGCCCTGAAGGAGGCCCTGCAGCACTGCCCCAAGAAGAAGTTGTGACCCATCCACCAGCCTACACCTGGCCCATACCCATCTGAAGGGGCTCTATAGGACCCAGGACCAAACAGACTCTGCAAGGTCAACGAACCCGGGGACAGGAAAGCCACTGGCCCAGCCCAGGAGAGCAGTCAAAGGACAGGACCAGGGAGCCTCCCTCTGTCCCAGGTTACTCTTCTCCCTCCAAGGGGGGCCTCATGGAAACAGGCCATTTAGGCACAGGACCCATGGTTCCTTCCAAATGAGCTACAGTCCCCATAGGCCATGGGCCTTCTGGGAAGTTTCAATAAAGAGTGGTCGGTCATCTCTCCTCACTGTGTGGGGTAGGCTGCAAGACAGTCTCACAGGAGGGTATCCTGTTCCCTGTACAGCTCAACTGTGGATCTTTGGGGACACCTCTCATCCTGGAGTCCATAGGGCAGAGCCTCCCCTGAGCAGGGGTACTGTCACCACACTCTGGCCCCAGATGTCACAGCCCTCAAACACATTCACACACGTTGCCTCCAGGTGAACCCGCACAGCCCACAGGCCTAATATCAGATCCTACTCACCTGTATGCACACAGCCAGGACCTGAGCCCATGATGGCTCGAGGTCCACACCCTCAGCCCTACAGCCCCTCTGCCCTCAAACATGCAGCTGCGTGTGGTCCCCAAGCCCATCCTGCTTCTGCTTAGCTCACTCTGGCTCTTGAGCCCACCCCTCAGTTCCTAGGAAGTTGCTGGCCAGGTTAGCCCTGAGCTCTTCAGGACCAGGGTGTGCTTTGGACAACCACAGCCTCACCCACATTTCCAGGTCCTCACAATGCCCAGGAGGAAGACAGGACAGGGTCTCCTTCCTGTCAAGGTAGACACCCACAGACCAAATGCAGCCCTATGTGGAGCAGAGGTTGGCCTGGCTCTATCCTTGTCACTCACTGTCATGGCTGGGCACAGTTGTGTGCACTGGGAAATGACTGTGAGTTGGCAAGAGGCTATCCACCCCAAGGCTTTCACAGTCACCAGGAGAGGTGGGTGCTGAGACCTCACACATTGTCATATCACAGCTGTGATCAGCTCAGGACTGGGAAGGGTCAGAGGATCTGGAACCCAGAAAGCAAAGTAGTGTTGGGGCTCTTAGAGACGAGGTTGGAGAAGTTGGGGGCCAGAACATGCAGGGCACATGGGCCACATTTGAGACACTGGTCTTTGGTCCAGAGAGCAGCTTTGTCTCGATTTGGTCTTCCCAGAAGCAGACACTGAAACCGGAATTCAAGTACAAGTAGTTTATTTGAAAGGTGACTCCAGAAATCATCCAAGAGAATCCCTGCTATACTCCCATCCAGTCGATGCCCACTTCTCTACTCTCTGACCTCTATCACCATAGATCAGCTTTGCATATTTGGGTTTCATATCAATGGGAAACACGGCATATTCTCTACTGTGTCTGCTTCTTTCACTTAACATTTTTTACCTTCATACATGTTGCAGGGATTGATTTGTTTGGTTGTTGAGTGCTATCCCATCCTATGGACACATCACAATTTGCTTATTCATCTGCTGTTACTGGACATCTGGATTATTTCTAATTGTGGCTACTATGGATAAGGCCATAATTAAATTCTTATTTAAGGCTTTGTGTGACCATATGTTTTCATTTTTCCTGGGTAAGTTGCTAGGAGTGGAATTACAAGATCATAGGGTAGACTTACCTTTTAGGAAACTGCCACAAAGTTCTGTGAAGTGGCCATGAGAATTTCAGGTGCTCTACATCCTCAAACACATTTGGTGTTGTCTTATTTTGTTTCCTAGTGGGTGTGAAATTGTATCTAATTTGATTTTAGGTTACCTTTCCCTGATGGCTAATGATGTTGATTATCTTTTTGTGCTCTATTAGTCGTTTCAATATCTTCTTTTGAAAAGTGTCAGTTCAAACATTTTGCTATTATTTGGATTTTTAAAATCTGCTTATAGTTTATGTGTGATTATTTTTAAATATTTTCTAGATACTGTCAGATATGTGTGGCATAAGTATCTCCTCCAATTCTATGGGTTACCTATTCATTTACTTAATGATTATCAAAAAGCAAGTGTTTTTAGTTGTGGTGAAGTCCTGTTTATCAATGAGCTTTCTTTTATGGTCTGTTCTATTTGTATCTTGTCTAAAAAAAACTTTGCCTACTTTGGGGTTGTGAAGATATCTTCCTATGTTTTCTTCTAGACACTTTATTGTGCCAGCTTTGGTGTTTAGATTTATAATATAACTTATGTTAATTTCATGCATGAGGTGAAAAAAATGTGAAGGTTCATTTTTTTCCATACTGGTATGCACTTGTTTCAGCAACGCTTGTTATACAGAGTTTTTTCCCTATTTAACTGACTTGACAACTTTTCAAAAATAGGTCTCCATTCTGTTTATTTTCTGTCATGTATCATTGTGTCAATCTCACTCTATTTTAAATATTGTAGATTTATAGTAAGTCTTGAAATCAAGTACTACAAGGTCTCCAGTTTTGTTCTCCTTTTAAAAGACTTTCCTATCCTAGATCTTTTGAATTTCTGTATACCTTTTAGACTCATATTTTCTATTTTTTCAGAATAGCTTGCTGGGATTTTGATAGGAACTGTGCCAAATCTACAAATTAAGAGCAATGGAAATCATCAAAATATAAATTCCATTTCATAAACCTGAATTAAAGTCTTTTAAAATTATTCTCAGCAATGTTTCTAGTTTTCTTTACTGATGTGCTTGAGTCTATGGATGTGGAGGTCTTGCCTATCTTTTGTTATATTTATTACTAGGTGTTTTAAATTTTTGGTGCTATTATAAATAGTATTTTTTAAATTTAAATTCCAATTGTTTATTGTTAATATATAGTAGTTTTGGATTTTTTTATTTTTAATTTTAAAGATGTGGGGTACAATTCAGGGTTAGGTATACAAATGGTCATTATGTAGGTACCCTTGTTGATGAGGTGTGCCCTCCCCCGGCAGTTTCCCACTACTGCCAATCCCTTTCTTATAGTATTATGATAATTATTCAAAGTTCACTTATGAGTGAGAACATGTGGTACTCAGTTCCTTGTTTCTGTGACAGATCACTAAGTATTATAGACTCTAAGTTTATCCAAGTTGCTGTGAAGTTTATAATTTTGTCCTTCTTTATGACTGCGTAATCTTTCATTGTGTATATGTACCACATGTTTTCTGTTCAGTCCTCTTCCGATGTTTTTGCTATTGTGAATAATACTGCAATAAACATGCATATGCAGGTATCTTTTCCATAGAGTGATTTGAGTTCCTCCGGGTTTATTCCCAGTAGGGGGATTGTGGGGTCATAGGAAGGTTGATTTTTAGATCTTTTAGGAATTGTAAAACTGTTTTCCACAGAGGTTGTACTAGTTTACACTCCAACCAACAGTATAGAAGTGTTCCCTTTTCCCCGCATCCTCTCCAGCATCTATTGTTTTCTGAGTTAGTGATGATGGGCATCCTGACTGGAGTTAGGTGGTATCTCAGTGTGGTTTTAATTTGTATTTCTCTGATGACTAGTGAGACTGAGCATTTTTTCGTATATCTGTTGGCTGCTCGTATGTCTTCTTTTGAGAAGTGTCTACTCATATCATATAATACAGTTTTTTAAATTTCAATGTTGCATCTTATAATCTTACTAAATTTACAAAGTCTAGTGTGTTTTTTTGTAGATTCCTTTGAATTTTCTAAGTAGGTAATCAAATATCTATGAATAATGAGAGTTTTACTTCTACTTTTCCAGTATTCATACCTTTTATTTGTTTTTTCTTGCCATGTTGCACCACAATGCACAATACAATGCTAAATCAAAATGGTGAGAGCAAACATTCTTGTGTCAGAGAAAGTTTAATGTTTCAACGTTAGGTACGATATCAGCTGTAGGTTTTCTATAGATGCCCTAATGTCAGGTTTAGGAAACTACCTTCAATCCTCATTTGCTGAAAGTATTTATTATTAACACATGCTGTGTTTTGTCAAATTCCTTTGCTGCTGACAATGAGATGATCATAAAGTTTTGTTTATTTATTCTGATGTGATGTATTTTGTTGATTGATCTCTTATTTTCTTATATTTGTCAGGTTTTGATTTCAAGGTTACATTGGCCTCATAAAATGGGTAGTATTTTCTTTCTTTCTTTCCTTCCTTTTGAGTCGGAGTCTCACTCTGTCACTAGGCTAGAATACAATGTCATGATCACAGCTCACCACAGCCTCAACTTCCTGGGCTCAGATGCTCCTTCCACCTCAGCCTCCTGCATAGCTGGAACTACAGGTACATGTGCCTGGCTAATTTTTTCTTTTCTTTTCTCTCTTTCTTTCTTTTCTTTCTTTTCTTTTTTTTTTTTTTTGAGAGACAGAGTCTTGAACTCCTGGTCTCAAGCAATCCTCTCATCTCAGTCTCCCTAAGTGCTGGGATTATAGGTATGAGCCACCACATCTGGCCTGGGCAGTATTTTCTTTTCCTTTATTTACCATTATATATTGTCAAAAATTGGGACTAATTATTTTTTTTTTCTTAGATGTTAATAGAATTCACCAGTGAAGTCTTCAGGGACAGAAACTTTCTTTATGGGAAAAATTTTTGCTTAACTATTTTAATAGACGTGGAATTTTAAAGATTTTTATCTTTCTATGTGTGTACATATTGATAATTTGTTTTACTCAGGGCATGCTTCCCTTTCATCTAAGTTGTTGAACATATTGGCATAACATCCTTCATAATACATTTTTTTTTTGAGTTGGAGTCTCACTCTGTTGCCCTGATTGGAGTGCAGTGGCCGCTCCCGGCCACCGCAGCCTCGCCCGCTGGGCTCCGGCGATCCTTCCGCCTCAGCCTTCCAAGTAGCCGGAATTACAGGCATGCGATACCATGCCCGGCTGATTTTTTGGTTTATTGTAGAGATGAGGTCTCGCTGCCCAGGTGGGTCTCGAACCCACGGGCTCAGGCAATACACTCACCTCAGCCTCCCAAAGGCGCGGGATTACAGGCTGAGCCACCGAGCCCAGCTTTACAAATG